GATGGACTCAAAAGAGAAATGCAGTACTTTGCAGTGCTTGAGTAGATGCCGTGAAACAGTTTTTCATTGTCGTGGGTGTGTCATCATCCCTATTCACAAATAAGAGGTTGGTCTCAGACAGCACCGCTCAGGCTCAGGTTTAAACACCGTCGGGAATGTTCACTGACTTGACCGTGCGACATCAACGTAAAACAACGCAAGTCCACATCTTACCTGGAAGCAAAACAGTCCGATGGCGTAGATGACATAGTCCTCTCTGCTGGCTCCAGAAGCTGGCAAAACCTTTACGCCGTCGTTGACGGCCAGAGAGAAGAAGAGAAGGAAGCCCAACAGGTGGCTCCAGATGTTCACAGTCTCATTGGACAGAACGAAAATACTTGAGGAGGAACAACAAATAGAGATGTTTTTTTGGGGGGGGGGGCGTCGACCTTACATAGTGTTGTTCATTATTAGACTCACCTCCTCAAGCAGAGTTTGGAAGGCAGGTGGGCTCTGTAGCCGTCTGTGATGTAGGGGTTCTCCCTGAGATACATGGGAAGTTGTTCAAAAGTGTACAGTTTTATTTTCTGCGGGATGCGCATCGGCCATTCTGGGTAATTGCCCAGCTCCACGTAATGGGTCGTCTGCAGCATCTTGATCATTGCTTCTTCCACTTCAAATAAAAGCAAGTTGGGTTGGGCGGGACAGGAATGGAAACCTGACAGGAGAAAAGACACACACACAATACTTACAGTATTTACATTCTGGTCACAGCTTTCAAGAAGGAAAGAACAAATTGAGATGCATTAACGCCAGGATAGATGTATTGGATGGAAAGACTGTACTGTACTAAGCAACAGTTTACATTAGATTATTTTAGATTAGATACAATGGAAATAAAAACCCTAGTTCAAATGCCAGATTTTTGTGATGTAAAAAAAAAGACCAAGATAAGTAATTTCAACAGTCTCAAAGCGCAGACCTGCAACTGTTGCGCGTGCCTCGAAGGAACACCAAATAAAGTTCAGATGTTCTAGCAGGCTTTTGTAGATTTTGATTATTTTTATTTATTCATTTCTTAGAAGTCTGTAGGTCTTGTGTTAACACTGACTGCTACTTGAAAATGTTCATAATTCTCATCTAATGTGGGACGTTCCACCTGGGAAAAAAAAAGTCCCACAGCACAATGCTGCTATCACCACGCTTCATTGTAGGTATTCAGATTCAGATTCAGAAAACTTTATTTATCCCTGTGGGGCAATTAGAGTTGTGCGAGAGCGGCTTATCATAGAGACAGTCAGAGCAAAGGAAAAACATAGGATGAGAGTCGGCCTGTCGGTAGGTCTGGTGTTCAAACATACAAAAACTAAACCATGATTTAAACATTTTGCAAAAACACACTTGACTTTTACATACCACATGTATGTGGGGAAACTGTAATGGACCACTGAATCCAAGTTTGAACTTTTGGAATCGCTACAGGTGTATACTTACTTTCTCCCATTATATATAAATATGAATGTGAGTGGTTGATGGTAAACACAGCCACATCCCCGGTTATAAGATGGGTGCATTGTGCACAATTTTTCAGTTGTGTAATTTCACCTGCCCTCTCAAGGACTTTATTTCAACTGAGTTGTACAAATTATAAATCATATTAATTGTGGAAGACATTTTAAAATGATCTTGGTCTCGTTTTTTTTTTTTTAAACACAAAATCTGACATTCTATCAGCGGTATATGTGCTTTGCATATCCGTAGGTTTGGATGGATGGATTGATGGATGGATGAATAGATAGATCGAAATGCACAACTCGCTCCCAAGCTTAACTGAGTTAATTCATCAACCATCAGTATGTTATCCTTTGCGTGACATCCTGTATTTTACAATCGTGGTCACTGCGGACACTGCCAACACAAAACAAAACGCGGACGGTTGAAGAATGACACCTTGACTGACGTACATACCCCTTCGACCTACATTTATATGCCAAACGCGTACGAGTAAATAGAAAACATACACGCTTAAATCGAGGTGGTTATCTCAAAGGTAACATTTACAGGCATTATTTAGGGCAGCTAAATTTGATTGAAAACAAACTGACCAGTGACCGCTAGTCCCCGTGCCACAATCGTTGATCTCTCGACTCAGCCATGATCTCACCCGATGTGTCACAACGCCCACGTTCCTCCTTCCAAATAATTCAGAATTGCTCAGTAACACGCATCAGGTAACGTCAGCAACTAATACAAAGCCTATTTTCTTTTTGTATTCATTGTAAACAATGACACAGCGCTCTACCGCCGCCGAGTGGTCAAGTTGGAATATTTCACCCGCAGTCCATTCATTACGTTGTAGGTACAAAAAAAAAAACGATCGTGACGTAATAGAGAGGAAAACGTCACCACCATGGCTGTGGTTTCATTTGAAATACTTCACATTTTCAGTATTTTATTGTTATAATAATTCGCTTTCCAAGTTAGCTGACTTAGATGATAAATGCAATCGTCTGTGGGAATGAGTCAGAGACAAGTCTACATTTATTTTATGGTTACCCTGTGCCATCGAAATTTTGGAGAGATTTTGAAAAATAGATGTGTGGAAAGAATTGGTCTTATCATTGCAATTGATTTAAAAGCTATAATTACAACATGATGGCTTGTCTTTTTCCTGTGTGATGAATCTTTTGCTCTTACTTGGCAAATTTTACAAAATAAGAATGTCCAAATCACTTCCATTTTTTCAAGTATTTCTTGTAGAGCATAGTCTGTATCTAAATTTACAAATTATCTTTAGTAGACCTCAAATGAAAGTTTACTGTGCCTGTTGTCGTTGTTTTTGTTTGTTTTCTTGTTTTCTGTGTGTTATTTCTTGTATTACATTGACGTTTGTACACTTTGTTATCCAACAATCATAAATGTTTGATGATAAGTCTCAATTTGAAAAAAAATGGCTGTGGTTTCAACATTTCCCAGTTGATTTAAAACCAAATCTGAATAAACAACACCACACCCTCCCCTGGTCGCGTTTTTTTTAAAGCCCATTTAATGACAAATTCAAAAACAATATCCTTCGTTTGTCTTTTGTGACCTCAGAGGCTGAGAGTAACGTTGTTTGGTTGCACTGTAATTGCTGTGCTCACCACATTAGTGAAAATCACTTTTATTGTTCTTTTTACATCTGAAGTTGATTACCAAGGCCTCACATCCCTTTAACACTCGTAAAATTAACCCTACAAAAAATATTTCAATGGCTGCTCTATGAACGATGCAATTACATTTATCGTAGGCCTGTGACATCATTCGTTGCTTTTTGACAGAACCGATGTGAAATATAACGAATCAAAGTGAATTCTTGAACCAAATTAAGTTGGTGAAGTTTTTTCTGATTGTTTGTTTATTAAATCTTGTCTAACTAACATTACATAACATGTTTTCATGGAACCATTTTTGACCAGTCAAAACGTCCTTTACATAATTTCATTTCTTTTACACAAATGAGGATCTATTCCTGTAAACAATGTTCAGCTGTTCAGTGTGTACTAAAGTGGTTATGCAAACCAAATGAGGCCTTTTGAGCACGTGTTCCACATGCAAGTTGGATGAACATCCAAGAAGATTGTGGAGTACTGTATGTAATGTGGACTGTTGGCCTGCACCGTCATGGTAACACCCACAAACAAAAGAGGGATTGTGCAAAGCAAAAACAGACGTCTCAAAGGGGCCCCTGCACCAGGCAAAGATTCAATTTCCTGACAAAATGACATTGGTATGTATTTTTTTCACATGCCATGACTTCACACTCTCTGAATGCTGAGATGTAAAGAGACACCCTCATCATTTATGATGCATTATAAAAACATCATCATTCGAATTTTTTAATGGGGCATTTCTCTTGTCGTTTTTGAATTTTTCTTTTAACAAGAATTCATCACGAAGAAGGACCAAATGGAGTCGACGCATCCCGGGAGATAAAGACTGATTAATGAGTTCTTTCTCAATAAATCAATACTCTCTTGGCCTTTTGTTAGCCTTCTGCAATTCATTTGCACGAACTTTAAGCATGTGTTTGTCTTGGAGACATTGTGGTGCGCGGTTTTGTATTGGGACATTGCGGTCATCAAGAACAGCTACATTAATTTTCCACCGAGATGATAAGATGGCATCCATAGTACAGCTTGCATGTTTATATTCCAAATGTAATTGTATTAATGCATGATAAATGTAGTATTAGGCAGCCCAGACAAGTCTTCTGCCATGCTTTACATATTTCCAGTCCCAGTCATTGACTATTTATGCCACTAATAGTGCCAACTGTTTTGGCTTTGACAGATGCAGGAAATACTGGATGATGGTGTTGCTTTCAAAATAAAAGTAGAGTAAAGTTCCTCACCGTAATATTTACAATTTTGTTTTCCTAAAAAGCATTGTAAATATTCCTTAAGTGTTACAACAATGCAAATATAATTCCCCATTTGCAAATGAGAACAGTTTCAGTGCCAACTTGTCCTCATAATATTACATTTAAGTTAAATGTAATATTATGAGGACAAGTTGACTTAAATGATTTAAGTCAGTTATATGTGATGATCTGGAATTATTTTATCGAAGCAGCAGTAACAGTTGGACATACTGAGATGGACATAATTAATTTGATCGTTTTGTTTCTACCTTTCACAGTCTGTAGTGGTGCAATATGTGTAGAATTGATGTTCAATACAGATTTTTGGGAAGTAAAATCAAAACAAGACCAAAATAATAAAATTGTCTTATTTGTCACACAATTAAATTCAATTTTATTTATGAATCACTTTTCAGAGAGAGGACATAGTTATAGAACACATAAAATGCAGGAACACAACACATAGGTAAAACAAGGGGGGGAAAATCAAATGAGTCATGTTATGACCAGGGGCACGGTTATTAATGAAGCACAAATGAAATGCGTGTTTCATTGTTTAAGAAAACAAAACGTGATGTAGTAACGTAACCGAGCAGTGATTTAACTTTGAAATGCACACTGGGTGGTGCTGTTCGGGTGTGACCACACGCTTCGGACGAACAGCGATGATAATCTTCGAAGTGTACAGTACGTGAGCTGCAAGATGTGAGGTACTTGAACGCACCGCCGCGAGATAATGAAGCCCACCATGAAGAGGAACCAAAACAGCTCATCGTGGTTCTGGGAGTAAAACACTCTGATGTGTGTGGATTATGGGTCGTTTATGGATTTCTTGTACAATCCTCCTTTTGACGACTTTTTGGGTGATCTCAGCGTTGACGGACGGCGGCGAAGAGTCCTGCAATGGTGCATTCGATGTTTATTTTGTTTTGGACAGGTGAGACATATGAGCTGCTGTAACAATATGCTGCACAGTGGACATTCTTATGTGCGCTCAGACTGGTCGTTGTCCTTGTATGGTTGTGTTTAGTTTGCGTGTTCCCACTTCCCACTTGACCTTAGCATAGCCTTCACCCTTAACTTGAACTTTATTTGTGGAAGCAGCGACTCAAACGATCCTTTTTGTTTGCCGTTAATATGTAAAGTTTGCCAGTGCAATGGTGCACGTGTTTGAAATGTAATAATACAGTCCTCCAAAAAAAAAAAAATCCTTCGGTACATTGTTTTAAGTATTATTCACAGTATTTGAGAGTAATTATTTGGTTTATTGATTGATTCATTCATATCATACAGTATACTGTATGTCACAGGTGTCAAACACAAGGCCCGGGGGCCAGATCTGGCCCGCCACATCATTTTATGTGGCCCGCGAAAGCAAATCAAGCAGGTCAACTTTCATGACGCATGCCAAAATCTGTACCAAATTTCGAATTGTCATATGTAGTAAATAATCATGTTGAGCTATTGCAAGCATTTTCTTGTTTTACATTATTACAGAAACTTGAACAACAGTGCAACAAACTACTCTCCTGTCTGGACTTTTGATTTCAAAAATAGTTAGCTATTAATTGTGTACTGTATATTTAATAATATGAGAAGGTGATTAAACATTTATACGGTTTCACAGTCATAATGGCCCTCCTAGGGAAACTGTGACTACAATGTGGCTCGCGACAAAAATGAGTTTGACAGTCCTGCAAACCTTTTTTTTTTGTCATCCTTAATTGTAATGTTTCATTTTGATTGACACGGTGGACAAACTCATTTAAAGACATTTTTGGTGTGGTTTCTAGCGGTCAAAAATTGAACTGCATCTCAAACTTGGATCCCTTATTTTGCCTCGAGTGATGACAGAACAACATTCAGGATGCGTGATTTCTTTTGAGACTTGGCATTCACATGTTGTTTTAAAAAGGCACCATGTGGCGTTTCTGTGTGCGCCGATCATGTTTGCAGGTCAGGCAGTGTGTCAGGACACTGGCATGAGATCTTTGGATTTGTGGAGCAGCTCACCAAGAAGTTTGTCAGGTGGGTGAGGGGACTTGTTATTACCAAAGTCCTCTTGCACGTACGGTACAGAAACGTTTTCAAAGCAAAACCAGAGAGGGCTTTTATTATAGGTTGTTAAAGTATAACACAAATGGGAGTGCAAAAAAAAAAAATAGTAGGCCAAACCTATTTGGGGAAGCTGACATTTTAGGCTCCAAACCCCTTCTGGTTAATGGTGTTGTGTGTGTGTGTGTGTGTGTGTGCGTGTGTGTGTGTGTGTGTGTGTGTGTGTGTGTGTGATACCAAATATAAACTCATAACACTCTGCCAGATGTGGAGGTGGTGTTGACTTTGGTAGACAGTCAGGACAGATAGTGGGAGTGCTACTAGCACAGCTGGCGCCCTCTTACGATGGTGAGTTTAAATTTAGGGATGGTCAAAGTTTTCGTAGAAACATGGAAGAAAATTGGGTGGGTTCGAAAAGTTTCCTGTCTTACTGGGAAGACGTTATACAAGATGTTGCAGTGTATCGTGTGGGAATTTTTGTCCATTCATCCCAGAGAACATTTGTGGACCTGAGAGATGGTACTCATCAATTCACCAAATTTACGGCCACCTTTTTGCGTTGTGATTTACATACACGAGCACAGGTCATATACCGAAAGAGAGGTTCTTTCCTCCACCGTTCTTCTTCACAAAGTCTCGAAAGATGCTCCAGCTGGTTCAAAATGTGTAGCTAATGCCACACTAGTATTGAATCTTATTCATACATGGCAATTTTCCGCGGATCCGCGGAAATCCGCCGTTTTATTTCTTAAATTGATCATTTTTGTGAATCGTCTAAATCCGTTGAGAAAATTTTAGGGGCGGTCAGGTACCTTATCGTCGAGTTTTCACGAGCTCTCCCGAACAGTCTCTCCGTTTTCCGTTTGTAAACAGCCCTGCGATTGGACGTGTATGAAAGCTTCAACTAATCAGATCACTGAAGGCATTATTTGTTGCGGAAGTCTTAGCTCGATTATAAACGGCCCAGCGATTGGTTAACGACAAGCGATTGGACCAATCAAATTGCATGTAACATATTGCTTTACCTGATTCATGGCGGCCTGTTCGTCTCGCAAATTCATTGTTCTGGGATCGTTTTGAGCGGAATTATGAAA